TCTTAGAATTTTCTTCTCTCTGTTTACATTATTTAGATGTTCTTGCATGTTGCCTACTTTCTTCATTAAAGCCCTTAGTATTTTAATTATAGTTTTTAAAAATCTCTGGTCTGATAATTCCAACGTTCCTGCCATATTTGACTCTGGTTCTGATGCTTGTTTAATGCCTACAAAATGTGTTTTTAGCCTTTTACAAGTCTTATAAATTTTTTTTGTAAGGTGGACATGAATCCTGGGTAAAAGGAACTGCAGTAAATAGGCATCTAGTAATCTAATGATAAGATGTATGGAGGAAAGAAGCATTTCATAGTCCTATGATTGCCTCTTAGTCTTTTGGTGAGTTTGTGCCCTGGGCTGTGGGCATCAAAGTACTGCTCAGTGGTTCCCCCTTAGGTGGAATTGGATGGCTGGAGTGGGGCTGGAGTTGGATGGTTACCTTAGGCTCGGTAAAACTCCAACAGGTTAACCCTCTGGTAATATAGTTTCTCCTGAATGCAAGCCTTGTTAAGAAGAGCAGAACACTCTAGCCTGTATCAAATGGTCCCTCGTTTCTTTCTCCTGCTGGAAGCACCAGGGGATTTTTCTTTACTGTTCACTGTGAGGACCTGGTAGAGGTCCTGGAAGTAAAACTCACAAAAATGTGCTCCCCTCCAGCCCCATTACTGGGTTCCCTTGGGAGCCTTTTTAACTCTCAGCATTATTCTCAGAGTCTCCAGTAATTTATCAAGTACAATTCAGTTTTTCTACCTAGACACTAGTAATTTGGAGTTTTCTGTCATGGGCTCTGTTCCTGTCATTTGTGATTTTCTGTGTTGGCTGGTCTCTTTCTCCAGTTTTGGTGGCAGCAGTTTGCCCTGTAAATTCACTTCTCTGATGAATTATGAAAGAGAATTTGCTTTTCAATTTGTTCAGATTTTTACTTGTTAGGAGGGAGTGATGATTCATAGCATTTTTTTAAATTAAAATATATATTTTTTTAATTTTGCTTGTTTGTTTTCACTTTATTTATTTTTTTAATTTATTTATTTTTAGAGAGGGAAGGGAGGGAGAAAGAGAGAGAGAGAGAAACATCAATGTGAGGTTGCTGGGGGCCGTGGCCCGCAACCCAGGCATGTGCCCCGACTGGGAGTTGAACCTGTAATGCTTTGGTTCGCAGCCCACACTCAATCCATTGAGCTATGCCAGCCAGGGCTTAAAATATTTTAATATAATGTAAATAAATTCATAGGTGTGATCATACAATACCTTCCTGTATATTTTACTCTTTCTTTATTGTCCTTCTTTGCCTGGCGCTTTTCCTTCTAACTTCCCTGTATGTATCACGGCCTCTCTTTCACCCATCAAGGTAACGCATTAATAACCGAGTATGTCTCCTCCATGTTTTTCTCTATATATCAATGTATACCAGTATTAATTCCAAGTTATTTGACATTGGTTTAGTAGAAACAAGTTCATATTTTACATGTTTTTCAGCATGTAACTTTCTTCATAAACTAAATCTCTTGAAAATTACTGCAATTCAACTGGAACAGCTTTAATTCATTCCTTTTAATGTCTGCACAATAGTCAATGGAGAGGATGTGCCTCTAGGTAATTCAGCTGCTACCCTATTGCACTCTGAAAACAGGATTCTCAAAAGAATTCTCAATAGCACTCTCAAAGGACTCTTGATGTTTATGACACAAGGTTTAAGGAACCGTCAGCTCAGAATACACTACGCTTAGAATCAGGAAATATGAGTTTAGTCTGCACCTGTTACACTTCTACAATTGTGAATAAAGGAGGTATAGAACTTTTAAAGACCTGTATATCTCTGTAATGAAAAGGAGCCAAGAAAAAAAGCAAACTACAAAACTCTATAGTTATCTGCTTTGTTAAAAAGGCCAGATCATGAAACAATTTTTTCGTATGCAAAAGAAACCCTTCAAATGAGTAGGAAACAACACCCTGCTGCTGCTGCTGCCGCCGCCTACCATCGCAGCAAGTGATGAGACGGGCTCCCTTCCGAGACAGACCAAGCTCACTGCACCCTAGCGTCTGTGTTCTATGTAACGCTTTCCCCAGGAAGGGGTGGTGCTGTGCCTATGGTGGGGTTCACTCCTGTCATTGTGTTATGTGATGACAGCAAAGGCCCCAAATCCATTGATTTGGAGTTAATAAATAGCAAGATTATCCCAAATGACCCCCACATAACTGAATTGAAGCCCTTACAAAAGGTTGGATTTGAAGAGGGAAAGATATTTTCTTCTGTTGGTTTTAAAGAAGCAGACAACCATGCTACGAGAGAGCACAAGGGTGTCCAGATGCAGGACAGCCTCTTAGAGTTGGAAGCAAACCCTCCCTGAGGGCCAATAAGAAAACAAGGTCCTCAGTCCTATAGCTTCCAGGAACTAAATCCTGCCAGCAACCAATGAGGAGCTCAGAAGAGGACCCCCAGGCACAGATGAGATCAGAACCAGGGCTAACATCTTGACTGCAGCCTTGTGAGACCCTGGACAAAGAACTAACTTGATTACACCATATCTGGATGACTAACTGATAGGACTTAAGATAATATATGAGCATTGTTTTAAAACACAAAGTTTCTGGTGATGGACTCTACAGCAACAGAAAACTAATACAGTGATATTAAAAAAGACACAGGTCTAGTCTTCACCACTACCAAGTAAGATAGTGGGCTCAAAAAACTAGCTTTCCAGTTGCAGAACACTATATTTTTATGATGCTACTGTAGATCAAAATAGAACCTCTGTTTCCATGATAACTGTCAGTCAACAGACACAGTATTTGTTTAAAGAAACAGTATTGGGGAAGGATAGCACTTTTTTGGAGCACTGCATTTATTCACAACCTTCCATTTTAACTGGTCATTAGAACGATCTGACATACTTTCAATCCGGCACATTTTGTGAGTGTTTTACAATTAAATAAAATCTTCCAGGCAGATTTAGAAAGAAACATTTTTATAGGGTTAAATAAAACGGTAAGTGAGTGAGCAATAGTGAGGTAGAGAAGACTTGGAAAGAGAGGTCAGCTGTTGTAGTAATCCATTTCTCAACATTGACCTTGAGCAACAGTCTTTTTGAGATAAAACATGGAGACTGCCATTCCCCCTGGTACTTTGCTGCCCCTACTCCCACCACCACCAAATTTATATGTTGAAGTCCTAACCCTAAATACCTCAGAATGCGGCCTTATTTGGAAACAGAATGTAACAGGAGTAATAAATTCAGATGAAGTCATTAGGGTAAGTCCTAATCTGATATGACTGGTGTCCTTATAAAAAGGGGCAATTTGAACATAAACATGCACACAGGGAGAACACCTTGTGAAGATGAAGGCAAAGATCAGGGTTGTGCTCCTACAGGCCAACAAAAGCCAGAGATTACAAGCAAACCCACCACAAGGGAGGCAAGAAACAGACTCTTCCTCGAAGGCTTCTGAAGAAGCAAACCTTGCTGACAATTCAATTTTGGACTTTTATCCTCCAGAACTGTGAGATGTTAAGCCATCCAGTCTGTGTACTTAGATATGTATGGCAGCCCCAGCAAACTAATACATTATCCATACAGAAATATAATATTAATGGTAATAATCAAATTATGATTTTGCATTCTATAACAATGTTACATTTTATCTATCAACGGCCCATTGAAAATTTTTTTTCTACATTAATAATGCTGTAATAAACTTGCAACTTTGTCCATACAGCATTTATCTTTTTGTGGGTAATGTCCTTTGAACACATTCTAGGATATGGGAATCCCTTACCAATCTTTTACTGTTCAGAACGGTTTAAAAAAAGTGACAATATTTTATGCCTTGGAAAAGTTTTGCTAAATTGCTTTCCAAAGAACTGTAACAGTTCCTTCTACCTGCTTTGTGATGAATGATTTCAACACTTTCTCACCAACATTTGACAGTATCTTTTCAGGTACTGTCACACACATTTTGAGAATATAAAGTGTATATTTATTTGGTCTTAACTTTTCCTCTCTCTGTTGCTTTCAGGCAGTCACCAGAAGAAATTAACCACAAGGTCTTTAGGTTACGCTGTCCTTAACCATTTTAGTCAAAGAGAGTCCAGAAGAGAATTCAAATGGGTGTAGAATTTTTAATGCAAGAAATAGCTCATTTCATTAATTCTAACCTTCATGAATTTTATGTCTTTGTCTGATGGTGATTGTTGTAATGAAGAGAATGAAGACAGCTTGTAAAGCAATATTCTTTTCAGGATTTTCTTAACGTAGCTTATTTATACGGGAAGTCATCTTTCACTGTGTCCAAGGAATTAGGTTGGACGTTGGCCGGTTTTCAGTACTGCCCGATGAAAACTGTGACAGCTCCACTGACCTGCCTGTCCTTCCTTCTGTAAGTCTGCCCTGACAATAACCAAATCTACCCCCCCTAGAAAGCTATCACGCTAAGAAACCAAACGTCTTTTAAAAAAAAAAAGAAATCTGGAGAATGGCTGCTGAGCAAAGCTAGCCTGCCACTGCTCCTTCACCCCGCGTCCGATCCTCTCCAGTCTCTACCCACCTGCCCACTCCCCCTGCACCTTACGGAGATTTCTGCCCTCCACACCTGGTTCAGAGTAAACCGCGTCTCCAGCCCCTCCTGGGTTTTTGAAAGGACACCGCGCTGGTGGGTCGTTTAGGGGCGCCTCCCGCAGAGTTTGGGGCAGGTAGATACAAGAGCATCCCTCCCACGGGGTGTGCAGAACGAACGGTTGAGCCGAGTAAACTCGGGTGTTTGCCTGCCTTCTCGGCTAGGGTGGGTGGGGAAAGATGTGTCCTCCAAGTGTTCAGACCAGAACTTTTGACCCTCTGTCTGTCTGTCTGTCTTTCTCTATCCTCCCACCATCGTCTCCTTTCTCAAGTGTGGGAGCTCTCCTTTTCCAGACTAGAGACGGGCGCGTCTCCCATTCCCATTCCCCTCACCCACCTATTGAAAAATGAGGGGGGCGGTCCCTGGAGTAATAGCGTGGATCTGCTGGGTGCTGAATGAATGGAGGCTCGCGGCCGGCCTGAGCGCGCGGCCGCCCTGCCCTCCACTCCGTCTCCCCGCGGCCCGCAGGACCCCTGCCGACCGCGCGCCCTCCTTCCGCCCCAGCCGGGGCCGCCGCGGGCTGGGCGCCCGAGGCGGAGGCCGTGGGGAAGGTCGGGGGGAGGGCGGTTTCCTCCCGCCCCACACCCAGCCTGCGAGCCGGATATATAGTGTAACGTTCGGGAGCCGAAAGACCGGAGCCGTTTCCTAGCGGCTGGAGTTACTGCCCGTGGCCTCAGGGAAGGGCCGGGATTTGGAGCAGCACTCGTTGAACCCCAGCCCGGGCCGGGGGCGCAGGTATTCCGGGGGCCGCAGCCCAGACGCTGGCAGAGCCTACGTCTGGCCGGGCGGAGAGCGGGCTGGGTGGGCGGGAAGGGCGGGTCCCCGCAGGGCCCGAGGCAGGGTCCGGTGGGCGTCGGGCCTGGCAGGGGGGCCGAGGCGCGGTCGGAGGCTGCCCGCCGCAGCTGCCCCCGCCGCACACTGCGGGCAGCCGGCGGTTAGGGTGCGCGGGCGCCCGTGCAGCCCGCCCAGGTAGTGCGCGCAGGGGCGGGAACGTCGGCGAGGGGCCCGGGCCCGCGAGGGTTAACGTGGAGAACGGCGCCGGAGCTGCGGGGGTCGAGGGGGAGAGACGCCCGGCTGGGGCTCTCCTTGGCCTCCTTAGCCCCAGGGGCTGTTCCTAGAGAGAGCACGCCGACCCTCGGACCGCAAGCGGTGTGGCGCCCTCCCTGCTGCCCTGCCTGCGTTTCCCGCTTCCCACTGCCAGACCCCGAGATCGCAGCTCTGCGCGTCCCCAACCCTGGGCTGTGCGTGCGCATCTAAACCCCGTCCCTAAAACCCCCTCCCCGCCGGAGCCTGGCTGGTACCCAGCCGGAGGCTGAGGAGGCCTGGGGCACCCGGGCGGGGCCTGTCCCAGTTGAAAGTTTCGACCTCTTCCTGTGTCCCGGGCGTCGTGCAGAGAGCAGGGGAACCAGTGCCAGAAGACTGCAGTTGGAGTAGATGGCCTTCGAGAAGGCAAGTTAAGATTACCCGCTGCGGGGCAATTCCTTTCCATTGAGAAAACACATGATCAGCTGAGTCCTAGAAACCGCTGGAAGGCGCCCCACCCGCCAGCCTCCTACTCTTTCAGCGTCAGGTCTGGGTAGGTTTATGAGCACATTCTTCAGTGGATGAGCTTACCTGGTAGGAGCAACGGTTCTCTCTGGAACCCAAGAGCTTTGGCAGCCAGTGAAATCATGATGAGTGTCCACTGTGCTATGATAGCAAGAACCGAGAGGGCATGGCAGAGTGGATCAGGAAACAAACGACGCGTGCTCTTTCTGCTTTCGAGGGGCCACATCAGGAGAAGTTTGGCACTGTGCAAATGGAAATATGAGGATTACTCTGTGGATTCAATGACCCATCTCTCCGTATCCCCATTTTTAGTCTAAAAAGTGCAAAGGGGCTGAATACAGTTTTAAGGCAGCCACCCAAACAGCAAAAGTAGGCTGTTCAGCAAAATCCACATTCAGGGATATATTTGTGTGTGACACTTCTAAGAGACGACCACCGCTGGCAGTACGCAGGTCTTTTGAGTTCTCTTTTCCTTTTTCTGAGGGCATCTTCTCCCCGGGCTTTATTATTGTAACAAAATCCTACCTTACTCCAATTCCTAACATTGGGTTATAATTATATATAAAATAAATATAAATTACAATGAGTTGGCAGATCTTCCAGTGATACATTTCTCCTTTATTTGAAGGAAAGGCTGTGACACCTAATTACAGAAGAAGAAGAACTTTCCTTTACGGGGGTGAAAATAAATAAAATAATTCATTTTCAGCTACTACTTTGGGGTTGATAAAGAATATGGTCATCGTGAATACCTCACTATTTGATTTCCTATATTTTGAAGATGTGTTCTTGAGTGTATTTCTTTCTGGCAACATCTGGGCAGCCTTAATCATTTTTGGTTCTTGTATTCATTTCCCTGCCTTCATGAGAACTCACTCATTCATAAATATTCCCCTGAAGGGTCATGCACAGTAACCACCTGCATGCTGGTCCCTGCCAATCTGTTCTGACATTGTAGGCTCTGTGAGAACATTTACCACTCTTGAAGATTCATTCTTAACACTTCATCATATTAACAGACCACTGTAAAAATCTGACAAAAGCTGTGAAATCAAGAAACAGTCATTTGCACATTCACACAGAATTCTGCCTAAAGTTCCAGGAGTTCAGGGTCTCCTTAGTACCCAAATGTTAGCCATCCACAGACCCCAGGCAGACCCCCCTTCAGGGACACACAGGTGTGCTGTCACACAGGGCCCTATATTTGGAAGACCCCCATGCTCGGTTTAATGTTCTGTCCCCTTTGTCTGCCTCAATAAATTTCAAACAAGGAGCTCCAAATGTTCACTGTACAGGAGATTCTGCAAATTCTGCAGCCAGTTCTGACCCCAGGGTAACAACCCTGCCCTAGAACTCACTGAACAGCAGGCATTGTCTCATAACAATTCTACATTTCAGGGGAATTCTCCAGCACAAGTTAGCTGTTGCAGACTATGTCAATAAGCCCTCTATGCCCAGTTTCCTCATTGGCAAAAGAAAGACAACAGACTGTATCTTCTACTCTATTCATCTTAAAAGCTTGTTGTGAAGATACAGCAGGCAAAAAGAGTCAGGATTGTGAAAACATCTACTTACCTTGAACAATTCTACACTAACAAAGACAGTGTTGTTACATGCTTAACTTTTCTACACCATTTTCCAGAAGTAAGTTGAGGAAGGTTGGCTTAGTATAATAAAAGACTGCAGATCCTTTATAAGTCTTACATTTTGGTGGAAGGGGGGGGGAAGTAGCTAAGGTATTCAGTTTTTTAAATATTCCTCAAATATCATTATTTGGACAAGATGAGAAGTGGCAACACAAAGCACAGAATAACTTCATGGATCCCAAAGACACTTTCTGAATTAAGTCGATGTTTGAGTCTAATTCATCTAAATATTAAACAAAGAGAAACTGAGTCAATGATTGAAGTTTTTGGAGGGTGTACTCCTCATAGTTTCACTTAAGTTTTCAAAATCCCTATTTTCAAAATCTCTAACAAGTCACCTTTTATGTATTCTAAGAGATGCCTAGCAAGATAAAACACACCTATTCCCTTATCAAGTTGTCCTCACCTCCTGTAACACTGCTGGAGGAAGTGAGAGACTGGGCAAGTCCTCTGTCTTCACACCCCTTCCTTAATTACTTCCCTGACCTCAGAACTTATCTTTGTTCCAGCTGTCATTCCCAGCATAAAGGCAACACACTCCGAAAGGCTGAGGAAGAACAGAGAGTGAAAGGAAATTGGTCAAACTCCCATATCAATGTTTCACTAAAGAGGGTGGATGGAGCCCTGGCTGGCATAGCTCAGTGGTTTGAGTGCGGGCTGTGAACCGAAGTGTTGCAGGTTCGATTCCCAGTCAGGATACGTGCCTGGGTTGCAGGCCATGACTCCCAGCAACCACACATTGATGTTTCTCTCTCTCTCTCTCTTTCTCCCTCCCTTCCCTCTCTAAAAATAAATAAATAAAATCTTTAAAAAAAAAAAAAAGAGGGTGGATGGAGACTCCTTCCATGCAACTACTCTGTTCAGGAGCCTGCTATATATTTTAGGATATGAATACTAAGTCCTGTGCTTGATAGACTTATGACATCATTGGCAAAACAAAATATGTAAATGTAAGGTGTTAATTAATAAGAGCAGAGAAGTTGTTACAAGATATTATAAGATTTGGCATGGAATGGATGGTAGAGAAAATAAGTGCAATGAGTTCCCCAAAAGAGAGTAAAAGAAACTGAGGTGGTTAGTGAAGCTTCAGTGGGGAATTACATGAGGTATCCCTTAAAGTCCCAGTCCTAACAGAGAAGAATGAACCCGTGAGTCATCTGCATGGCAAGTTTGCAAAAAAATGAAAATCTGGATGGGACTAAATTTCATGTCAAAAAAAAGACAGGAAATAAAACCATAAGAGAATTTTCCACTGCCTAGCTTCATTCACGTAACAGATAATTATTAAGCCCATTCTGTGACCAGAGACATTGCCAATTTTACAGCATTTAGCAATAAAGCAGATATGCTCCCTATTCTTTTGGAACTTATAGACATTGAGAAACAAATAAATGTACAATAACAAATTGTTGGAAGTAATATGGAAAACAAAGTGTTATGATGTAAAAAACGGGCTGATTCAGATTTGATGCTCTGGGAAGGTCTTTTTGGCAAAAAGAGATTTAAATTAATATTTAAAAGAAGCATATGGGTTAACTTGGCAAAAAAATGGGGGGGGGTGGAATTCTGGGCAGAGGAAATAGTAAATGGGAAGGCTTTAAGAAGACAAGAGGGCCAGAAGTGTACAAAGGCATGAGTGGCTGGAGTTTGGTGAGGGTTTTGCTGAGTCTGGATGTGAATATGAGGAGGTAAGAAGGAGCCTAGTCATGCTAAATTTCACAGATCTTGGTAAAGATTTTGAATTTTATTTTAGTGGGAAGCCTTTGAAAACTTGGAAGCCAGAGACTGTCTAACTTATATTTTAAGGAGATCTTTATGGCTACCATCAGAGAATGGACTAGAGGGATAAAGGACGATAAGTGGGAAACCAACTAGGACAGAGCGCCGATGACAATACCTTCTGGGCAGATGGAGAGAAAAGAGATGCATTTTGAGAGTAAAATTGACAGAAGTCAGTGCATCAGCAGGTGTGAGAGGGGGCGAGGCAGGAAAGATGGTGAGAATAAAGTCCTTCAATAGGTACTGCTGAATGTTTATAATGTAAAACAATAGGCTTACATGCATGTGACTGAGAGTTGCATAGGAAGAACCGAAAAGTGAAACGTGAACTGCTAACCCTAGTTCTTGCCTCTAGAACGTAGGCCGGGCTGTGGGTAGAGATGGGAGAGAGGTGAGAGGACACTTTCGCTTTTCATGCTGTCATTTGTACTGTTGGGATTATTTTAAAATCATGCATGCATTTCATGATCATTTAAAGGTTGCCACCACAACAAATAAGGCTTCTGTTTTTCTGGCTTGGGTTCATGGATAGAATATGCGGTAATTTCTTAAAATGACAAAAACTAAGAGAAAAAGGACTGACCCTCACTGAAGTGGTGATTGTTCTAAATTATAACTCATTCCTGTGCATAAAACCTTTAAATTCTTCCTCCTTGTCTATATCAGGGTTTCCCGAAATGTTTCCTGTGGATTATTAGTTTCTTGGAATATCAATAACAGTTGCGTGAAAGGAAAAAAAAAGCTTTCCCGATCATGTAAGCT